ATTTATATTTGCAGATGTCGGGGTAACAAACCAAAATTTGAGGAATTTAAAGACTTCGTGCAGAGGGTACAGAAAACTGAGTACTTGATTGCAAACAGAAAAGGTAAATTGGGAAAACATTTAAAAAAATGGGGAAAATTTATGAAAATTGTAGCAACGACCCAGCATATCAGCATGAATTCCTGAAAAAATTGTAATATTTTTGTGAAGACTTTGTACTTTGTTGTGCAATGTAATTTTTTTTGGTACACATACATGTAACTACGTAAAGTGCTTAATATGTAAATTGACTCAATAAAAAATGTTTTAAATAAAAAAAAAAAAAGTCTAGCCTAATGTTGAATCGAATTAACAGAATTTCAGACTATGGCTCTAAAACGATAACAGCTATTGAGAGCATGACAATCTCTTGACTAGTATTATAATCTGATTGACAAAATTAATCCCACCTTGCTGTCAGATTTAATAGTATTGATAATGTAGTTTTCTAGGTGAAACATGCAACGTCTTGTAATGAACCTAGTCTAGCGGACACATGCCATAAATGATACATTGAAAACAATAACTTGGCTGTGTCACAGCTCAATTGAAATAAATTGTAGATTCTAAGCATAGTTAAACTATCAGTCTTGTATCAATCATCGAAGTGCAGTATATTTTTACCTGTTTCAGTGTGGGATGATCAGGCCATTCAGCCAATAGTTCATTGACCCTGACAACAATCTTCTCTAAAACTTGTCTACACTGGACAGATTCCTCAACACATGGATCATGGTAGATATCAAATGGCTTGTTGAATAGTATATTAGAGGTAGATTCCACCTCAGATTTATGATGTCCACTGTTACTGATTGTGTTCTTCAGTATATGTGTCATCAGTAAATGCGATCCGACTAATTCCTTGTCTAGAAGATGGTCTGTAATGACAATGATTCACGGCATATCAGAATTGTGCACATATTTTTTAGGAAAAATACATTTATGTGGTCATACCATGTAGATAAAGTGATAAAGTATGAATAACTTTGATTTAATCAAGTTACTTCATTATCACATATTGAATATGCATAATATAAGGTTATTACGAAGATACCTCAAAGTATGCACGAAGACAGTACAGCGGCAGTATCGAACAACGTGCAGCGACAGTGTACTGTCTGAGTGCATACTTTGAGGTATCTTTGTAATAACCTTATTATTATACATCTTTTCCTACCAAGGATACATCATGGGAATGCCAAAATCCAAAAAGTTTAGAACAGAATCAGTGAACTTCTTTGTATGGAGTCTGGTCAATCCCTGGTGGCAGCCATGTTTGTTTTTAGTATTAGAGGACACTTACGCGCATAATCATTCAACATTTGGAATTTGCATTTCCTAATATGGTAGGATGAAAATGCCCTGTAAAATACCGCAAAATTACGGCACACTGTGACTTATGGCGTTACGGCGACAGATGTATAATAAGGTCACTTAATTCTAACAAATGGATCAGCATAATCACAAATTAGAAAGTGATGGACAACTGTGGTGGTATTTTGCGAAGTCACGAGAAAAATATGTACGCAGGCAATATGCGTAAACATCAACCTCATCGTCGTTCAATACAAACACCTTAATAGTTATTTTTATAGCCGAACTAGAACCGACGAAACCAATAAGCAGATAAAACTAAATAATACAATTAAGGATGCTGTATAGGTTTTTGGTATTGATTTTCTAAACGGGTGTTTCCATATAAAATATTTACTGAACCATACAAAGCTATATATTGATGGAAAGCTTATTTCACACTGAATGTGAAATCGACAAGATAGTGTGTGTATGGACGTGTAAAGTCACGTGATCTCTGTGTAAAC